TAGCTGGCATAAGAACCCATTTGAAATCTGTTATTATATGACCGCATTGAATGTGAAGTTTTCTTTTTTTTTTATAGAGACAAAGGCAAACCGCTCTCTCTCTCTCTCTCTCTCTCTCTCTCTCTCTCTCTCTCATTGTATTTTTTTTATGAAACCATTCATTTTATTAACCATAGTTCCTGTAATTTTTAATAAACCATTTCTTAGAATTTTTTTCTTTTTTTTTTTACATGATATATTTAAAAATATATTTAAAAAATTATGTACATAACCCCCTTATTAATATTATTTTATTTTAATTTCAGTTAATTATTATCATTATTAAATTAAATATAAAAAAAAAAAACTACAAAATGCAAGAAAAAGGAGGATAATTTTTTTGTTTTTACTATACAAAAACAAATAACACATTACAATTAATAATAATAATAATAATATTATATAAAAGAAAAAATGGCGTCCAAAACATCTACAGGTGTTGAAAATTTAGGATTTGAACATGGACCAGAAAATAATTCCGTAAGTATTATTATTATTATTAATAATTTTTACCGATGGTTTTGTTTAGTTTTAAAATTTATTTAAAAAAAAAAAAAATGTTATTGTTTAAACATAAAAAAATGTTTTTGTTATGTTGGTATCATAAAAATTATCAGTTAAGGTATTTAAAAAAATTATTACTCTTTGTTTTTTTTATTATTATTATTATTATTATTTTCTTCTTCTTCTTCTTATAAGAAACCTTGATCTTTGTAACGATCAAAAAACTTTGAAATTTTATAATAATAATAATAATGATAATAATAATACACCGGTAATTGTAAAAGAATTTAAAAAAAAAAATGATTTCATTCAATTTTGTAGTTATCTATTGTTATCAATTGTTATTTATAACTTAGTTATTATTATTATTTTTATTATTAACCGTGAAATAAATAAATAAATAAATCGTTTTTGATGAATTTTTAGTTATTGTCTTTAAGAACGAGTAAAATTTGTTTTAAAAAAAAAATATTATTATTATTATTAGTAGTTATAATAATAAAAATGAAATTTCATTTTTAAAAATAATTTACCCTATTATTATTATTATTATTATTATTATTACAATTATTGATCTGGTTATTTATAAATTTCATTTGATTATAAATACTA